GATACAAGTACTGCTACACCTGCTTTTTTTCTCCCTATCATTTACATGAAATATGTTTTTCCATCTCTTGACTTTTAGTCTGTGCATGTCTTTGGGTTTGAGGTGAGTCTCTTGTAAGCCGCATATAGATGGGTCTTGCTTTTTTATCAATTCTATTACTCTGTGTCTTTTGATTGGTGCATTCAGTCCATTTACATTTAGGGTGATTATTGAAAGATATGTACTTACTGCCATTGCAGGCTTTAGATTTATGGTTACCAAAGGTTCAAGGGTAGCTTCTTTACTATCTAATTGTCTAACTTAACTCACTTATTAAGCTATTATAAGCACAGTGTGATGATTCTTTCTCTCCCTTCTTATTCCTCGTCCTCCATTCTTTATGTTAGGTGTTTTATTCTGTGCTCTTTTGTGTTTCCTTTGACTGCTTTTGTGAGTAGTTGATTTTATTTTTTGCCTTTAGTTAGTATTTGGTTGTTCTGCTTTCTTCGGTGTGATTTTATTTTCTCTGGTGACATCTATTTAGCCTTAGCAGTGCTTCCATCTAGAGCAGTCCCTCTAAAATACCCTGTAGAGATGTTTTGTGGGAGATGAATTCCCTCAACTTTTGTTTGTCTGGGAATCGTTTAATCCCTCCTTCATATTTAAATGATAATCGTGCTGGATACAGTATTCTTGGTTCAAAGCCCTTCTGTTTCATTGCATTAAATATATCATGCCATTCTCTTCTGACCTGTAAGGTTTCTGTTGAGAAGTCTGATGATAGCTTAACGGATTTTCATTTGTAGGTGACATTTTTTCTCTCTTTGGCTGCCTTTAATACTTTGTTCTTGTCTTTGATGTTTGCCATTTTAATTATTATATGTCTTGGTGTAGTCCTCCTTGGGTCCCTTGTGTTGGGAGTTCTGTGGGCCTCCATGGTCTGAGAGACTATTTCCTCCCCCAGTTTGGGGAAGTTTTCAGCAATTATTTCATCAAATACACTTTCTATCCCTTTTTCTCTCTCTTCTTCTTCTGCTACTCTTACAATGCGCATATTGTTCTGTTTGGATTGGTCACACAGTTCTCTTAATATTCTTTCATTCCTGGAGATCTTTTTATCTCTCTCTGCCTCAGCTTCTCTGTGTTCCTGTTCTCTGATTTCTATTCCATTAATGGCCTCTTGCACCTCACCCAATTTGCTTTTAAGTCCTTCCAGAGATTGTTTTATTTTGGTATTCACCCTCCCAACTTTATTCTTTAACTCTTGCATATTTCTCTGCAGATCCATCAGCATGGTTATAACCTTTATTTTGAATTATTTTTCAGGAAGATTGGTGAAGTCTATCTCCCCAGGCCCTCTCTCAGGGGTTGTCCGGGTAATTCTGGACTGGACCAAATTCTTCTGCCTTTTCATGGTGATAGTGGTGGCTGTAGGCAGGTAGCACATGTGTCAGCTAGGAGAACAGACTCGTTTCATGCTTGCTGGTCGCCTTGTCCTTCTCCACTGCCTGTGTCAGTTACCCACACTCCTGGAGCTCCGGATTAATCCCTGAAGCTGCTGTGGGCGGGGTGTCCATCAGGGTAGCACAGAGCCCTGCAGGGAGTGGCAGGCATGCTGGGTGTGCTCTCCTGTGAGAGCGGTGCCCCCGCTGGGCAGCCTCTGGGTCTGGCCCAGGTGGCTGTGCAATGGGAGGAGATTCTGGGCAGGTACTGGGGGGTGCAGCTCCTCCCGGGTCACTCTGCCCCTGCTACTGCAGGCTCGCGGGGGTCGCTCCTGGGCTGCTTGGCCGCCGCCGCCACGGGCTCATGCAGGCCACTCCTGGGCCACTCAGCTGCCACCAACAAATGCCTCTTAAAGAAAAAAATCTTAAATTTTCAATATTGACCAAAATTATACTTTTATAATATTATTTACTTAAATATAAAACCAAATATAAATTCTTTATGCTTATAGTTCTTACAAAAGTATACAATTAAAAACTTTATAAAATGAATTCAAACAAAACTAACAATCTAAAAAACTCATAAAATGAAATAAACATTAATTTTCTATGTTGCTTTCTTTAAACTAAATTGGCAACTCACAATGTGAATGTGGAGTTGGCCATTAATATAGGTTGCTTTTAATATAAATGGAACTGTGTACCTGTGATGATTCAGTCCTCCCACCACTTTCCTCTATTCAAAGTACTATGAAATCTTCATCTTACAAGCAAGTACACAATGACACCATTTCTTCTTCACTTGACCTGATTGCATTATTTACATAGTAAGCCTGATTCTGTGATACTTGGCACCAGCAAGATTATAAACATAAATACAAATGCAGATACTGAAGTAAACTAGCAATACTATTCATAAGGTGGTCATCCATATGATCAAGACTATTGTTGAATTGAAAGCATAATATAAACGTGAATATATAAATCAATTTGGTGAGCATATAGGTCCCTAGAGCCCCAATTTTGTGAGTCCCAGATTTGTAGGTGTAGCTCAAAACCCTCTTCTGAGCCTCTGCCCTGTATTTCCAACTGCCCACTAAAAATTTGTCCATGTGCATGACCTATAATCACCTCAGATGCAACATGTCCAAACTGAACTTGTTATCATTTGCCACATACACACCCACCTTAACCTGTATTCCCAATCTAAGTTAATGAGATCATTATCTACCCAGTTACTAAAGCCAAAAACTTAAGTCCCACACTAGATTCCTTCCCTGCCTTACCTCCTACATCCAAGTCTTATGGATTCTACTTCCTAAACTTCTTTCAAATCAGTGGTTATTTTTCTTTTGACTCAGAAATCCTACTCAAATACCAAGGAAATGATCTAAATATTAGTAAAGCAACAAATAAAAAAAGAGTAAAGATAGATGTTCATCTCACTATTATACTTAATGAAGAAAATGAAAACAATGTGATCATTTAAGAATTGGGGAAATATTAAGCTAATATGGTGTAAGTTATTCTCATTCAGAAACAATAAAAAGTATATAGTTATTGGCAGACTAGCTATCAAAAAAAATTTTTTAATGCCCAGTATAAAACTTAAAAATGCTGGTTAAATTTAATATATTTTTTTTGTAGATACATTGCTGATTTATCAAGAATGCAAGAAAGATCCTCAGAAGGCAAAATAAAGAGCAACAAGGATTGGATCATGAATCCAGAGAGATATAAGGGATCTGAAGCCTACTTCTTTCTTGAGTACCCATTAATCTTTGGTGACATGGAGATTTAGTTCTAAAAAGCAGTGAACATGGTAGACAAGAAATAATGCAGGACCAAGGAAGGCAAGATATCATATTGGACTTTACATATAGTAGAAATTTAAAAATCGCAATATTCTCTGTGAGTAAACTAGAAAATAATCTACCCCACAGAGGAAAACATTGAGGAAAATTGTCCGTCTCAGTCTTGGCCATAAATGGAGGCAAAAATGAAGTCATTCTTGATAATAAAGACTATACAGCCATCCTTGAAGGGGTTTAGTGACAGAATTTATAGAATCTGAATGGTCACAAGTAGACATTTTCTTTCAAATTAGTCCTAGATCAGTGGTGCCCCCCGACATTTAGCAGAAACTAAGACAAATCCCTCTTAGGAAATTCAACTTTATCTTAAGCCTCAAAAAAAATCCCACTAATAAAATTTCAAGAAACATAAACCCATACTACATTATAATGAAACATGAAATATAAGTTATTCTTTGACAAATGTCAACATAAGAAATTTCAGGATAAGACTCACAAAAGCTTTGCCTATAAAAAAATATTGATACAGAATGTAAATCAACGTGTTTAATATATTTCAAGAAAAAAGAAAATATACTCAAAGAAGAGTCTAAAATATTGAGTCATGAAAGAATCAATAAGAAATTTTACAAACACAAAAACTGAAAAAATTTTCGACCACCACAGTGTGTGAATTAAATAGCAGATTAGACAGAACTAAATAAATAATTAGTAATTTGGAAGAACTTACCAAAAAATACAGCATAGAAAGCTAAAAGAGATAAAGTATGTAATAAAGATGAACAAAGAGCAGAGTGAGGTCTAACAAATAAATACCTCCAATATTGAAAGATGAATAGGAAAATGGAGATCTAAACATATTTCCAAAATGATTGAAGACATGAATTGTTGGATTCAAAGGATGCTCACTTTTCCCAGTACTGAACTACAATTTCTAGCCAGAGCAATTAGGCAAGGGGGAAGAAAAGGCATACAAATTGGAAAGAAGTAAAACTATTCCAATTTGCAGATAACAGGATCTTCTATATTGAAGATCCATAAAAGAACTAATAGAGCTAATAAACTAATTAAGCAAAGTCACAGGATAAGATCCACACTTAAAAATCAGTTGTATTGCTATATACCATCAGTAAACACTCTGAAAAGGAAATTAAGAAAACAACTCCATTTATAATAGCATCCAAACAACAAAAATAGCTCAAAGTAAATTAAACCAAGGACATCAAAGACTTGTACCTTGATAAGTATAAAAAAAGAAATAAAAGGCCAAAATAAATGGAAAGACATCCGTGTTCATGCACTGGAAAACAATATTGTTAGACAGTGATACTGCACAAAGCAATCTACAGATTCATGGAAATTCCTACCAAAATTTCAATGGCCTTTTTTACAAAAATAGAAAAGCCAGCCCTCCATATGGAACTGCAAGGGGCCCCAAAATCTCAAAACAACCTTGAAAAGGAACAGAATTAGCAATCTAACACTTCCTGATTAGAAGTTTACTACAAACAGACAATAATCAAAACAGGGTATTACTGGCTTGAAGATAGATCTGTTTACCAATGGAGTGAAATTACAAGTCCAGAAATAAACCCATACATCTGTGGCCAATTGATTTTCAGCAAGAGTGCCACAACCATTCAGGGAGAAAGAACAGTCTTTTCCATGAACTGTATTGGAACAAACGGATATGCTCATACAAAAGAATGAAGTTGCACTCCTATCTCAGACCATATAAAAAGATCAAAATAGATCACAGACCTAAATGTAAGAACTAAAACTATAAAACTCATAGAAGAGAGTCTGATATCTCAAACATATAAAGAACTCTTACAACTTGACAAAAAAATGAACAACCTAATTTAAAAATGGGCAAAGGAGTTAGACATTTCTTTAAGAAAGAATATACAAATGACAAGCACATGAAAAATGCTCTACATCATTAGTCCCTAGGGAAATGCAAATCGAAACTCAATGAGATACCACTTCACACCTACTAGGATAACTGTAATAATAATAAATAAAAAAGCAGAAAATAACAAGTGTTGGTAAGGATGTGGAGAAAATGGAACTCTTATATATTACTAGTGAGAATATAAAATGGCATAGCCACTATGGAAACAGTACAGCAGTTCCTAAAAGAGTTAAACATATAATTACCATATGACCCAGCAATTACACTCCTAGGTATATACTGAAAAGAACTGAAAACAAGGACTCAAACAGATACTTGTATGCTGATTCTGACACTCACTACAGCAATAATGGCAATGGCCAAAAGATGGAAACAGTACAAATGCCTATTAACAGATGAGTGAATAAACAAAATGAGGGGTGTGTGTGTGTGTGCGTGTGTGTGTTTGTGTGTGTGTGTAGAAACACATATACATATATAATGGAGTATTACTCAGCCATGAAAAGGGACAGAGTACCAATACATGCTATAATATAGAGGAACTTAAAGATGCGAGATACAAGAAGTAATATATTATATGATTCCATTTTTATGAATGATCTCTAATAGCTAAATCTGTACAGACAGAGACCAGATTGGTGGTTCCCAGGGGCTGGAGGGAGGGGGGAATGGGGAGTGACTGCTCAATGAGTACAGGATTTTCTTTTGGGGTGATGACAATGTTTTGGAATGACATAACAGTAGTGGTTACAAACCATAGTGAATTATTAAAGACCACTTTGTACACTCTAAAATGGTTAATTTTATGTTACATGAATTTCACCTCTATTTAAAAAAAAAAAACTTAAATTCCAAAATAGTCATACCGAAATAGAGAAAGCAAAATGTCACAAAATGTGAACAGTCTGTGAATCTAGGTGAAAGATATATGGATATTTGTTGAATTATTCCTTCAATTTTTATGTAGGAGTCTTTTTTGAAATAAAATATTGGGAAAACTTGTAACTTAGCTTCAAGACATAGAAAACAAAATAGCTTTCACCACTGAAAATAAACCCACAGTAAAGGTAGTACACAAATCAATTACCAAGCAAGCTTGAAATTAAAACAGAACAAAAATAATAAAACTAACTAAACACAAAATCAGTCAAGGAATGCACAAAAACACGGAGTGGCAGAATGGATAAAGAAACAAGACCGATCTAAGTGGTTCTCTGCCTACGAGAGAGTTATTGCAGACCCAAAGACATACACAGACTAAAAGCAAAGGGATAGAGAAAGATATTTCATGCAAACAATAGGGAGAAAAAAGCAGGAGTAGCAGTACTCACATTAGATAAAATATATTTTAAAATAAAGTAACAAGAGACAAAGAAGGACATTACATAATGATAAATGAGTCAGTCAAAAAAGAGGATATAGCAATTGTAAATACCTATACACCCAACATAAGAGCACCCAAATATGTAAAACAAATACTAACAGAACTAAAGGGAGAAATAGCAGCACAATCATATTAGGAGACTTTAACATCCCACTCACATCAATGGACAGATCATCCAGACAGAAAATAAATAAGGAGATGGAGGCATTGAATAATACATTATGTCAGATGGACTTAACAGAATCTGTTCTATAAATTCAAAAAGATAGAAGTTTTATCAAGCAACTTCTCAGACCACAATAGTATATAAGTAGAAATAAATTACACAAAGAAAACAAAAAAAGCTTACAAACTCATGGAGGCTAAATTACATATTTCTAAATAATCAATGGATCAATGAACAAATTAAAACAAATCAAGCAATACATGGAGACAAATCAACAGTCAAAAATTTGTGGGACACCACAAGGCAGTTCTAAGAGGGAAGTATATAGCAATACAGGCCTGCCTCAAGAAACAAGAACAATTCCAAATACACAGTCTAAACTCACAATTAAAGAAGCTGGAAAAAAGAACAAATAAACCCCAAAGTTAGTAGAAGGAGGGACATATTAAAAATCAGAGCAGAAATAAATAAAATAGAGAAAAAGAAAGCAATAGAAAAATAAATAAATGAAACCAAGAGCTGGTTCTTTGAGAAATTAGGCAAAATAGATAAATGTCTAGCCATGCTTATCAAAAAGAGAGTACACAAATAAACAAAATCAGAAATTAAGAAAGAATAGTTACAATGGATACAGAAATATAAATAGTTATTAGAGAATACTATGAAAAATTACATGCCAAAATTGGACAGCCTAGAAGAAACAGACAAATTCCTAGAAAAATACAACCTTCCAAGACTGATGTAGGAAGAAACAGAAAATCTGAACCAAGGATGTGCACTTTCACTTTTATTCAACATAGTGCTGGAGGTTCTAGTCACAGAAGTCAGACAACACAGAGATAAAAATTATCCAAATTGGTAAGGAAGAAGTTACACTGTCACTATTTGCAGATGACATGATATTATACATAGAAAACCCTAAAGACACACAAAAAAATTATTTGAACTAATACCTGCATTCAGCAAAGTTTCATGATAAAAAATTAATATACAGAAATTCGTTGCATTCCTATATACTAAAAACAAACTATCAGAAAGAGAAATCAGGAAAACAATGCCACTTACAATTGTATCAAAAAGAATAAAATGCCTAGAAATAAACCTGACCAAGAAAGTGAAAGATCTGTACTCTGAAAACTGTAAGACATTCATGAAAAAAAATTAAAGAAGAAAAAAAAATGGAATTCTATTCCATGTTCATGGATAGAAGAATCAATATTGTCAAAATGGCCATCCTGCCCAAAGCAATTTACAAATTCAATGCAATCCTGATCAAAATACCAACAGCACTTTTCAATGAACTAGAACAAATCATTCTAAAATTCATATGGAACCACAAAAGACCCTGAATAACCAAAGTAATTCTGAGAAAGGAGAACAAAGCTGGGGGTATTATACTCCCTGGCTTCAAGCTATACTAGAAAGCTACAGTGATCAAAACAGTATGGTCCTGGCAGAAGAACAGACCCATAGATTAATGGAACAGAATAGAGAGTCAAGATATAAACCCATGCATCTGTGGTCAATTAATATACGATAAAGGAGCTATGAATATACAATAGATAAAGACAACCACTTCAACAAGTGGTGTTGGCAAAACTGGACAGCTACATATAAGAGAATGAAACTGGATTACTGTCTAACTCCATACACAAAAGTAAACTCAAAATGGATCAAAGAGCTGAATGTAAGTCATTAAACCATAAAACTCATTGAAGAAAACAGGCAAAAACCTCTTGAATATAAACAGGAGCAACTTATTTCTGAACACATCTCCTCAGGCAAAGGAAACAAAAGTAAAAATGAACAAAATCAGACTACATCAAACTAAAAAGCTTTTGTACAGCAAATGACACCATTAGCAGAACAAAAAGGCATCCTATAGTATAGCAGAAAATATTGGTAAATGACTCATCTGATAAGGGGTTAACATCCAAAATATAGAAAGAACTCATATGCCTCAACACCCCCAAAAAAAATTACTCAGTAAAAAAATGGGCAGAGGACCTGAACAGACACTTCTCCGAAGAAGAAATACAAATGGGCAGCAGGCACATGAAAAGATGCTCCACATTGCTAATCATCAGGGAAATGCAAATTAAAACCATAATGAGATATCACCTCACACTAGTTAGGATGGCCACTATCCAGAAGACAAGTAACAAATGCTGGTGAGGGTCTGAAGAAATAGAAACCCTCCTACACTGTTGTAGGGACTGAAAATAGGTGCAACCACTGTGGGAAACAGTATGGAAGTTCCTCAAAAAACTAAAAATTGAAATATCATTTGACCTAGTAATTCCACTCCTAGGAATTTACCCAAAGAAAACAAAATCCATGATTTGAAAAGATTTATGCACCCCTATGTTTATTGACACACTGTTTGCAATAGCCAAAACAGAAGCAACCAAAGTGGATAAAGAAGAGGTGGTACATATACACAATGGAATATTATTCATCCCTGAAGAGAAAACAAGTCCTGTCATTTGCAACAACATGGATGGATCTAGAGGGTATTATACTCGGTGAAATAGGCCAGGTGGAAAAAGACAAATATCATATGATTTCACTTATTTGTGGAAAATCAAAACAAAGCAAAACAGAAGGGACAGTACATTAGTAAAGTCTATAGACACTGAGAAGTGACTGGTGGTTACCATGGGGGAGAGGTTGGGGTGGGTGGTAGGGGAGGGTGAGGGGGATAAAGGGGTACAAAATTCATAATGATAAGTTGATCATGGGGATAGTAGTACAACATGGAGAATATAGTCAGTGACTCTGTAACATCTTTCTATGTTGACAGATAGTAACCACACTAGTGGGTGTGGGGATTTAATAATATGGGTAACTGT